CGGGGGGTTGCCTCGGCAGGGGGACGGGGCATGATCCTGCTCCCCTGGCGGCTGCAGTGGGGTGCCCTGAGCTGGCTCCTGCCCCTCGCAGAGAACCGTGGCGCTGGCACAGTCGCCGGTGCGGTGCCCGAAGAGGGAGCTGGTGGAGCTGGAGAGCTGGCCCAAGGACACTGATGGTGTGGCTGAGGACACCAAGGTGGGTTTGGGGAGGCTGTGCCTCGCAAGTGATGCCCGAGCTGGGGGGAGAATGGGCGGGGGGTGCTCTGGGGATGCCAGGGTGGGCTCTGAGCCCTCTCTGCCCCCCCAGCCCATGCTGTCCCCCAGCACCGGGAAGCCAGGCAGCGGCACCGAGAACTGCACCGTCCACGTCATGGGCAACTTGCCGCAGCCAGGTAAGCCCATCCCTGCCGCCTCCCCCTCCCCAAGCCCTGTCCGCAGTCCGAGGGGCGGCTCACGGTCCCCCTCCCCGTGGCCAGGCAGGAGGCGTCCGGTGGAGCGACTGCCCCTGCACGCCCTGGGCCACGTTGTCATGAAACAGAGCTACGTCTGCGCCCTCATCGCCATGATGGTAAGGGGCTGGGGAGGGGACGGACACGGGGGGGCACCTCCCGGACTGAGCCCGGGTGAGCGGCCGCATCCTGCCTGCCTGCAGGTGTGGAGCATCACCTACCACAGCTGGCTGACCTTCGTGCTGCTGCTCTGGGCATGCCTCATCTGGACGGTGCGGAGCCGGCATCACTTCGCCATGCTCTGCTCGCCCTTCCTCCTCCTCTACGGCATCGCTCTCTGCAGCCTGCAGTACGTCTGGGGCATGGATCTGGCCCCCGAGCTGCCCACCCGCGTCGGCTTCATGAGCCTCGAGCAGCTGGGGCTGGTGCACCCCAAATATCCCTGTTTGGACCTGGGGGCCAAGGTAAGCCCGGTGTCCCCATCCCTGTCCCCACTGGGACCCGGCTGTCCCTGCTCCCCGCCTGTCCCCGCAGCTCCTGCTCACCCTCACCTTCTGGCTGCTGCTGCGGCAGTTCGTTAAGGAGAAGCTGCTAACGAGGAGGTGCCCGGCCACCCCGCTCCTGGAGGTGACCGTCTCGGACACAGGTGACGGCTCCCGGCATCGCCCACCCGGCGGGACCCTGCGCCAGGCTGAGCACCCCTGGGGTGCGAGTGCCCGGAGGCAGGGAGCAGGGGGGGACACACGCGTGCCCTCCGCCCGGCTGCCTGCAGCCCCCTCCCTGCCTTGCAGAGCCCAGCCGGCAGCGGGACGTGCTGAAGGCGCTGGGGGTTCTGGTGCGGGATTTCTACGCCAAATACTGGATCTGCGTCTGCGCCGGTATGTTCATCGTGGTGAGCTTCGCCGGGCGCCTCGTTGTCTACAAGATCGTCTACATGTTCCTCTTCCTCCTCTGCCTCACCCTCTTCCAGGTAGGGGGGGATGGGGACCCCTCCCTGTCCCCATCTCCGTCCCCGGCGTGGCCCCACTGATGTCCCCGTCCCCGCAGGTGTACTACAGCCTGTGGCGCAAGGTGCTGAAGGGCTTCTGGTGGCTGGTGGTGGCGTACACCATGCTGGTGCTCATCGCCGTCTACACCTTCCAGTTCGAGGACTTCCCCATGTACTGGAGGAACCTGACGGGCCTCACCGATGAGCAGTGAGTGTCCCCGACCCACCGCGGGGTCCCTGCCACCGCCAGCCCCGTGGTGGCACCAGGGCATGGCCAAGGGATGCATTGCACGTGGGGAAACTGAGGCACGGGGGGAGTTGGGGTTGAACCCCGACGTGCCGGCTTGATGCCCGCGCAGGGTGGGATGGATGCGGCCCCACGCTGACCCTCCCCTCCCTGCCCAGGCTGGGCGACCTGGGCCTGGAGCAGTTCAGCGTCTCCGAGCTCTTCTCCAGCACCCTCATCCCGGGCTTCTTCCTCCTGGCCTGCATCCTCCAGCTCCATTACTTCCACCGTCCGTTCATGCACATCACTGACCTGGAGCACATCCCCGCTGCCACCCCGC